AGTGTAGTGGCTTGCTTAGACCCATGTACTGCCAGAACAGGATTGCATCGCTTTGAAGCGTGTGTAATCCTTGCCCGGCCAAGCTGCCGAGGGAGACGGAGCAATCAGCACCGTGGCTGGAGCCAGGCTAATCGCTCACTTAGATTGAGTCCTTCTCGAGACCTTTTTAATTATCTCCCTGTCTGATTGAGACTGTAGAGGAAACAAATCACCGATGTTTTGAAACGTGAAAGTTGTTGTCTTGACACTGCACAGCCAGGCTGTGATTTCAGGGAGCTGTGCTGCAGTTCTGTCCTTTGAAGAGGGGGTGCAGGGTGGTGGGGTGTTTGAGGTGGGAACAGGCTTGGGCTCTAAAGGCAGCCAGTGCCCTGCCGGGTGCTACCACACCTACTCCACAGATTTCCTATTTTCTGTTTGTCTCCACTCTCATTGTGAATAATGTTCGCCTTGGAAAGAGAGGGGCTGGCAGATTAAGTGGTCTGTTTGCCACTGGCAGTGCTGCACCCAGAATATGGCATCCAGTTTTGGGGCCTTCCCCAATTCAAGAGGGATGTTAAGATGCTGGAGAGGTTACAGTGATGGGATATCTAAAGCATGTCACCGACAAAGAGATGTTGAGAGATCTGGCCTTGTTTAGTCTGGTGATGGTGTGCCTAACCAGGAATCTAACAGCAGTCTACAACTACTTGAAGGGGACTTACAAAGAAAGTGAATCCAAGCTCTTCTTCCAGCAGTGATAGATGATCAACACAAGTTAAAGGCTGGAAGTCTCAAAGTGGCCACTAGGAAAAAACCATCTCTGCTGAATGGGTAGTATGGCACTGGAACAGGTCGCCCAGAGAGGCTCTGAGCCCTCCATCCCCAGAGGTACTGAAGTCAAAACAACAGCCAACCTAATCTTGGTGACCTTCAGCAGTAGGGTGGCCCAGCTGACCTCCAAGGTCCCTTGCGACAACATGGTCATGATGGTGAGCAGCTATTTTCTAAATGTATGTTTTTCCTAAGTGTAATTTATGGTGCTGATTTCCTCACCTCAGTTTGTCTTCAAAGCCCAGCTTTCTGGTCTCAGTGAAAACCATGGACAAGACCATGCAAGTGTGGGGACTGCTGGCAATATTTAACTCAAAGCCAGTGTTAGCGAATTCACACGAAGATGGGCAAGCACATGACCTAAAGTTCATCAGATAGCTGGAGTATATGTCACCTGATGGACTCTAAAACATCCTTGCTTGAGGTTTCTGGGCATGTGACAGGTCTTAACTTGACAACTCTCATCTTTGCTGGCTGGGAACTTGGAAGGAAGGGAGCAAGAGGGATGTCAGATGACTTTAGCTTTCTTACTCCGCAGCAGTAGACAATTTTGAGTGTTCTGCTTGTCCTGCCACAATAACCCTTGCGAGAATGCAAAGCTATGCAGACAAAAATCCCACCCTCAGCCCTGAAAGCATGATCCAGAAATAAAGCACACAGAGAGGAACTTTCTTTCTTCAATTTAATTGAAGTTACTTAGAAAAATAATCAGGCTTGAATGGCTTTTTTAAGGAAAGATTCATGAGCAGTTCACACTTGTGTTGGCAATGTATAATTTAGCTTTTTTCTTTATTAACAGTATATTTAGGTATGAGGAGATACTTCTCTACAACAAGCCTTCTACTGCATACAAATAGGTTAAAAAAAAATCCAACCCCACATCGATGTTAAATTATTCGTACACATTGTATTGTGCATGCATGTAAGAAAATAACACTCTCTGTAACAAGAGTAATAGTAAGGACAGTCCCTTTTTGTACCTGAAAAGTGCAGCAGACTACAGTGAAACCCTAAAACATCTGGGGTCAACTTACTTCTAAAAGCACTTCTGCTTGTGGATTATTTATTTCACTTGTCTTACGCAGCGCGTGGTTCAGGCAGTTTGCACGTTTCCATGATAATGGTTTATGAGGAAGCTGAAGCACGGACCCAGTCAGGTCTGTGGGGACATCCCACCACCTAGGAGTGACCACCATGTTCAGATGGGCCAAATCCAGCCTGGGCTCCAGGTCAAGGTGCGTGGGTCCATCAGGGGTAACAAGTTCCCAGCTGTGAGTATTGCACTGGGTAAGGAGCCGCGGGTGCTGCTGGGTTCAGCGCTGGCCTTGCCAAATGACGAAGGGCACCGGCTCCTCAGAGATGGCAACCACTCTACCTCGAGCCCAGCGGCTTTGAGGGGGCTGGGGGCAGTGGTGGGGAGCGGGACCTTCCCTGCTGGGTCCTCTCTGTACTCACCACTGCTCAACTGATACACATCCTTCTAAAACAGCAGCTCGCGGCCCCATGGGCGCATCTGTATTTTGAATTTTGCTGTGGCTGCAGTTCTGCCTCTGTCTCCCTGGATCAGCTGAGGCCGCAGCAGAAATGAACACAGGGTGGAGGCAGGGCTCCAGAACAGACCAGCCCCTCCATTCCTCTGGCTGGGAAACCCACTGAAGAGATGGGGTAAAATCAAGCCGGTTCCCTGGCTATCCCCGCACTGCAGGTGGTGGCTGCCAGCTCGCCGAGATGAGGAGGAACGACCCTGAACATCCCCCTGTGTGGGGGGCAGTGGAGAGAGATATTTTTTTGGTTCAGTCAAAACAAAACATCCAGCAGACCAAAAAAAAAAGGCTATTCCTTAATATTTATGGTCTTTCTCTGACCCGGTGAGGGCTTCGTGCTCAACGCGCAGGACACAATCCTACCCAGCGTGTCAGCTGTTCATTTTAAATACAGGTCTACAGCCCATTCGTAGCACCCAAAATTGATATAACATGCTAAACGGACAGTTTGTAGTAGTTTGGGATCAAGGCTTTTAGAAAGCAAGTGACTTTTAAGTACCCACTTAAGTCCACATAAAAGTCATCTCAGTGCTGAGCACCTGCCCGCAGGGCAGCCCTCCGCGAGGCAAGCAGAATTTGGGTAATCAAACCCAAAGCTGCTGCTAAAAATCCCGGCTCAAGCAGCGCTCACCCCTCAGATCTCCTGAACACATTTTCCACCTAAAGCTTTTCTATCATAGCTGTCAAACAGGGGTTTTGTGTCTCCAAAGCAGTGAAACTAAAGAGAGTATTTCACAACAGATAAAAACGCAGTGACGACAGGGAGAAGTACAAAAAAGAAAAGGGGGAAGTCCCATTTCAAAAAATCTACTTTCTGAAGCAACTCTTTTCTCAAATGAAAAAAATTCACATCACATTCTGCTGGAGTGGATTCTAACTGAAGAGAAAATTGGACCAAAATACGAGCACTGTCAGATACAAGACCAAACAAGCACACAAATAGCTTGCGGGAAATACCGGAGGGGCAGAGGGGAAATCTACCTTCAGACAGATTATTTTTTCTTAACAAACATATAACCATTGAACTACGAACAAAAAGAAAACCAGGGCACACTGTGATAGGCACTTGCAACAGCTCCACACGCTCTAAATAAGACAAAACCGCTTTCAAGTAAAACACCAGCCAGTGATCAGCAACTGCTCAGGAATTCAGAGCTGTCGGGTGCAGACGGCCAGCGCTTCGCTAGCCACTGGGCCAGCGCTTTGTGTTATAAATAGGTTCTGGGTTATGAAAATTGTGGCTGTTCCGGAATGGATGAGAGCTTTATTTGTAGGGAATGATACAAAAATAATGACCCGAATCCTGGCTTAGAGCAAATCCAATTGTGAAAAGGCTTCAGCTGCTGTTTGTTATGTTAATTTGTTCTTCACTGAAATTTATTCAGCACCTTATTTTTATAAAATAAGACTGGAACTTATTTTTCTTCTTTAACCACGTGTGTATCCTGGAGACTAATGTAATTCAATGAATGTAATTCAGCTACTGTACAATACGACATTTCGGGGATTTGTCTCTGAAACTGTTAAAGCAGCTCTGCCTTCAGTTGAGTTTATTTAAATCCTCACTAATTTTTGCAAGTGTTGGGTTTGATCATAAGATCGACACGCAGGCAAGTCAAAACCCCATTTTAACAATCGTTCAACTTTAAAACTGATTTTACGTTCTCACGAGTGCCTCAACTGGATCCTCTGCCTCCTTCTGCCCATCAGCTGGCTGCCGGCACTGCCGGCACTCCAGCTCGGGGTGGCTACAGACCATTCCCCAGGCAGGTGCCTGCCACCCCCTTGGGCCTACCCCTCACCTACATCAAAATAAAGCAAACATTTGGAGAAGGTGGTACTTCTGCCCACTGAGCTTGCTAATAGATCCACATTGAAATCTAATTTTTCATTATTTATTTGCCACAAATAGATTACTACTCGCTCGCCCATAACTATTGCTTGGTGTGCTACGCTTGGTACAATCGGCCATGCCAACAAGCTGTTACACACAAAACCACCACTACTGAGGTGTTCACCTTAAATAGACAGGCCATGGTCTCACACTAGAGCTGACTTAGATGAAATACTAACCCACTGGAAATTAGAAACATCCCTGACAACGGTATTTAGGGATCAACTGAAAAAAGACGACTTCCCCTTCCCCCTAGGAAAAAGCCATGAAACCAGCATGTAGGAAGATGAGAGACCTTTTTTATTGCCTTGCATACTTAGAGATCAACACCAAGACGACTTGCTGACTTTTCAAATTACATGCCCACATCCTTTATAGCAATGTGTCGTGACCTGTGTTTTCTAAGTCAATTTTGGTTGCCCATCTTAAGATCAGTTAGGGAGGCTTGACTTGCAGATGATGGAGCTCCCCCTACCCCCATCCTGGATAAGAATGAAGTCAATGCCAATTGCTTTGGGCATTCAAAAATCTCTACAGTCACTTTCAAAATGCTGGTTTTTTTTTTCTAATAGAACATCTGCATATCTGGATTCATTTGGGCTGGCAGCCTTTAAATTGAGAGACAATGGGACTGGTCATATTCTTGATAAAATCATTAAGTCCAGACTTATAAAAAATTCATGGTTTCTCTTCCCAAGGAATACATTCACATTTCTTTCAGTCATGGGTTTTAGATAACATGAGTCTATCAAAATCTGTTTTACTTTTCCCTTTCAGGGCTAGAAAGATTTTTTTCTGGTATGCTTAAGTGCAATATCACTTTCTGAAGAAATTATTTTCACCACTCTTCTCAAAGCATGTGGTATCAAGAACCATTCCCGTATTTACCTGTACCAAGGGCTAATGGAAGAATATTATTACTCAGAGACAAGCTCAACTGAGGAAAGCACAAAACCAGACTCCTTTTGTCCAAATGTTATCTCACCTCTGCTGCTGAACTGACACCTACCAAGAGACCATGTTTTAAATAAGTATAAATAACATTAATTAGAATTGGAGGAATGCAAGATCAATGAAATTCACCAGAACACAATTAACATTTTTTTAAAACAGTGTAGCAGTATTATTTCATTTCTACAGCTGGATCGTCACAATCCTGTTACCCTGCAAAGAGAGCTGTCCTTTCTTACAGTTGATTTAAATAATTTTGACTGTGCTGCTCGCAGCATCATTCAAAAAAAAGAAAATATTAATTTACAAAATAACCCATTCTCCATATTTATTATGACAAATAAAAATCTTAAATAAAACAGGCTTTCTCTCCCCTCTTTCCCCCCGACCCATCCCTCATTCCAATTTCAGGTAGCTTGGCACTGAGTAATTGAACATTAAAAAATCAAGTTTGTAGACTTCGTACAGCTGCGTTTGGTGCTCGGAGCTGATGTTCTGGAAGAACTCTGTGGTCATTTCGTCAGTAGTTCTCGTAGACTTTGCATAGGTGGGGAACTTCAGGTAGTTGCCTACTCCCGCCAGCTGGAGAACATAATTTGAATCCTCTTCGAGCGTTTCGTACTTTCCTATGAGGTCATAGTGGATGTGGCAAGGGTGGCAGAGAGAGTACACAGTCTGCCAGTGCTCGTTGAAGGGCTCTTCTCTTTGGGTGTGCGGGTCGATGAGATACGCCACAAACTCTTCAAATTTCACGTCATCGCCTTTCCGCAGAGCTTCCTGGGTTGCGTTTTTCCTCTGGCGCCTCACGATTTTGGTGCCGTATCGTTTGTGGAAGGAAGTGTTGTACTTCTGGGTGAACTTGTTCCTGTAGGCTGACACCAGTCTCTCAAAAGGCTCGCGAACGAAGAGGAACTTCATGTAGTTTTTCAAGCGGTGGTTGATCTCTGGGATGCTGTACTGGTTGAGGGTCTTCAGGTTCGAAGACACGTGAGCTTCATTGGCTGGGATTTCCATCGGATCGCTGTACTTGCCTCTTCCCGTCAAAACCATCATCACTCTCTTCCAGTTTGTGCAGGCCACTTTGGGAACATAGCAATAGATCATTTCATGATCTTCATCCACAACCAGGTGTTTGAGATCGTTGGGTGTCAGCACGCGGCGCTTCCTGCTAGATACACTGTTTGCTCGGCATGTGTCTGTCACTTGGTCTCGTCTAATCTGATGAAGAATTGCTGTGTTGGACAACTGCAAAGAAAGCACAGGCACCAGTAAGATAAGCAGCTGGGAAACTCTTACTGCCTTTTTGCTTATTATACAAATTCATAGAAAAGTAGATTACTGTCTGTATAGAACAGTTCATTATACGGCTGAATAAAATTGTTCCTGTGCTAGAAGATAAACTGGTTTTGTCTCCAAACTTCTTGACATGTGCTGCTTAAACGCTGTTCACAAAGCGTCCAAGGCTTTGCTTTGAACCCAACACAAGGGAGCACAAGTGCTCCCACAGCCGGATTGCAAGGGTATTTACAACACCCTCATCCTGAGATGCGATAACTGCTTTTCTTAGTCCTGGAAAACAGATCTCCCCTCCATTCTGCAATCCATTGCGCAGCTACAGCAGTGCTGGACCCTGCCCAACCTTTGCTGTTGAGATGGGGTAGGAAGGCACCAGAGTTGGAAAATTTGTCAAAATGAAAACGGTACGTGCTCATGTTGCTGCTGTCTTTTATGCTAGAGAATTAATAATCGTAGCTTGCTTCTTGGCTATGACCTTGGCAGAAGAAACGATGCCCATGGAGATTTCTGCTACTCCCCAAGGGGAACGTTCACTCAGATGCAATTTCTTGAGGAGCAGGGAGAATATTTGCTATACATTTGCCTCTCTGCTAAAGCCGTATTGACAGAGAAGGAAAGAGCATGTGTCCTTCCAACACACACAGCACTATGTTCACCCATAGCCTTTTATTATTCTGCAAATAGCGCCCTAGCTTTCTACTATTACTGCTACCGGATGCTTTGGAGAAGCTGTAATCTGTCCTGGGAAGGCCCACAAGGGCAGGTGCACAGAGATGGCCACGGTCTCGCCACCAGCCACCTCCTGCCCAGATTGTGTCCAGCGACAACAACAAGAGCGTCTGCTAAGGCAGACGGGAAACAGAGAATACTAGCCCAAGCAAAGGACCACGCCGAGGCAGGGCTCCTGTGTTTGTTTACTCAGAGCCATCTGAGGTTTCTCTGCATGGCACGGTGTTTTGCCGTGCAGCCCTACTCTCACTGCTACAAATGCCTTTTCACATATTCTGAATAAATTGCACCAAAGCAACAGTGAGAAGGTTTTGGTCATGTTATTTACATTTACTTAACACCACTTACCTGTGGATTTCAAAGAGCCTTACGCTCAGTAATTAGTTTAGTCTCAAAGCCAATTGTTAAGGCAAGTATTGATCTTCCTGTTTGATAGGCAAGGAGGTCTGAGATTCCTTCTTGAACGCTGAGTCTTTCAAAAGTGTTTATCTGATACCTTCTAGTTAGGTTCACATGAATCACAGGACACTGCAATGAAGCAGTTGAGGCAATGTAGACTGTATACATCTGCTATGAAGGTGCCTTTGGTTATAGGGGTCTTCCCCCTCACCAATATAATACCCTTGGCAAATTGTTTTGCACCCTCTTGTAGGTTCAGACCAAACCTCCAGTTCCTGCAGTCACAGCTCAAATCTCTGCTTTCAATACCAGTAGTTAGCTCTGATTCATATTAAAAAAAACCCTTCAAGAATAGGATCTGAATCCACTTTATAGACAAAACCCAAACCAAACAACAAGATGGAACCAAGCCAATTGTAGGACTTCTGAGCTTTAGAAGGAAAGAGAATAGAAACTGCATCCACTACGGACAAATCCTAAGAACCCAGGTTTCACCCGCCCAAGGGGTAGCGAAGGCTTTTGCGACAAGTGAACAGCAGAAACTCTCCTTCCCTCTGAGCTGCGGTGGGTTGCAGAGGAATGTTCTCGTAGAATGGGCAACACCAAGGGGGCTGGTGCACCTCAAACTTGGGCAGGAGGACTTTTTTCTCCAGGACAGCATTTATGTGCCAAGCCTGGGACCTCTGTATTTTTTCCAGTGCCACCCGCTACTTCTCCTCTGAATTCCTTGATGCTTTCCTCATCTCATCTCATCTCATCTCATCTCACCTCTTTAGCCTCTTTGTTCAGCAAAATGTTGGCTAATGGTTAAAACATGCAATAGCCCAGTGCAGCTCCTTTAGATAGCTTGGCTCGTCTTTTGCGCGTGTGTGGTATCCCCCTAAATACCTCCCAGGTGCATTTCAAGGGCAGTTTTGTGTTATAGTCCAGGAGATGAGAAGACAGACGTGAAATGTGCTTCATGTTTCCTAGGAAAACTGCCTGGCAAGGAGTTTCCAAAATAAGATGTTAGAAAACAGTTGTCAAGGACCACACAGATTTTTGAAGAAAATTACTTTTCTTGTTAAAAAAAATATAAAATATGTACTTCAATTTATGCTGTCCTCAGAGAGAAACATAACTAATGGTCAGCTCTATTCTGGTTAGAGTTACCAGTGAATAATTTTCAAAGAACTAAACAAAACCCTATGCAAACACACAGACATACAAATTCTCCTCTGCAGACAGATAAAATGCTGAAATCTCTCCTCCTGCAGATTGTCATCAACATCATATAGCACAGCACCGCTGTTTGCCTCTGGTTTTAGAGCAGAAAAAATAAGACATGTCTGAATATACTGCTACATTACAATATGTTAATGCACTGTTATCTGCTTTTCTGCTGCTGTTCTTGGGATAAATACAGAATTAAGTGGATGGGATTCTATGGCTTGTATGAGATAGAAGGTTAGATTTGATAACCTAATGGTTGCTTCCAACCCCAATCTGCAGATGAATCTTTGTAGAGCTGTGCGTTGCTCCCGATTTCATTCCTACATCAATAAGCTAAGCACTTCTTCCCCCTACATTAACATTAATGAGATTCGCAGGCATTCCGAGTAAGGGGAAAATATGCAGCCTTAGTATTTGCAATTGCAAATGAGATTGTACTACATTAAATTCACTTAAAAGATGATACTTGTGCATTTTGAAGTGGCACTTGTGTCCCACTCTTTTTAACATGGAAGAAATATGAAGAAATGGCACAAAAGTCTGGTCAGCTACAGTTACTAAGCACACACCAACACCCCAGGCTCATGCTCTGGCCTGTCTGGCGGCACACAGAACACATACTAAGTATCAACGTAACACTAGAAGTGTATTGCCCTGTTCTCATAAATTACAGTACCTTTTGCTATGGCTGATGGATGAAAGACCATGTAGGAAATATTTGGAAAGCTCTACCTTCTTTTTTTTTTTTTTTTAATTGCCTATTGTCTTCAGATTTTTGGGAAAAAAAAGGCCAATTTAGTGACTGTCCTAGAACATTGTCAACTGTATCAAAACTCCTTTTCTTCTGCAGCTGACTAACACACCTGATGTACCCTGGAAGAGCTGACTCACCTGCTTCCTCCAGAGGAGCAGAGTCCTGCTGGCTCTCCTTGAGATTTAATGGTGACAGCCCTCTTGCTGAAGGAGTGAGCGATGTGAAAGCCACACTTGCACCGCACTAGTGAAAAGTCAGGTAAGGCACTAGAGAGCCTTTAATGGAGCTCCTGCAGAACCACCAAACTCTTCCTTGTAAGCTGCAAACTCCAGAGGACATACTCCATGGTCCCTAGAGCCTCAGCACCATGCAAGGTAACCGTAACAGCATTCTTCAATTTGATATTTTGAAATAATATATTAACACTGAGTTATCTGATGCTAATATGGGTCCTCCTCATTTTAAGTTACAGGAAAGGCTTTTAAGCCACATAATGACGTCACTCCTGAAGCTGGTGAAGGCAACAAGGAAAAAAATAAGATGACGTGAGACTGGAACTACATTTATTTAAAGCAGAGCTCCACTTGGCCAGTGAAAATGTGCTCACAACTAATGAGAAAAATAGACCCTGCAGATTTAAAAACCCAGAGAGATAAAATCAAGGGACAGATATCTTTAAAGCCATGGATGGTGAAGGGCAAATCAAATGAGTAGGGCCACAGACTGTCTTCTCTGAAAGCTATTATAGATGTGGCTACAGGGGAGCTGGGAGAGCACCGCTGCTGCCTGGACACTGATTGCTGCATCTATGGTCATTACCAGAGGTCCCTGCTGATATCGCAGTTCCAGAAGCCACCATAAGTAACAGCCTAAATCCACTCCACTTTTGGAGAGGGCATTTTTAAGCATGTGTGTAGGTTACCCTGAGAACAGTGGGGGGATGGTGATAAAGCCAGTGCTCAGATCTGTCCTCTGACAGTTTGACTTCAGCTGGGCATTAAAGGTTTTGG